TTGAATGTAGTGCAGGTCAAGGTTAAATTTTTACATCATCAATACAAATAACATTTTGGGTCTTCATTAATACATCAGGTATTTTAGTTTCTTTATTGTCTTCTCTTTTTTGTGGTTGGTATTTAATGAGCTGCTTGGAAGAACTCTATATTGGTAGTTAAATAATATCTATATTGGCTGGTGGTGGTGAAAGAACATCTGTTATGGCTGCTGGTGGTGGAAGAATATTTGTTGTGACTGGTGGTGGAGGAACATCTGTTTTGGATAGTGGTGGAGGAAAATCTTTATTAGGTGGTGATGAAGTAAAATCTTTAATATATGATTGTGGAGGAAGATCTTTACTTGGTAATTTTTTAGGAAAAGATGTAGTTCTAGGTTCTTTTACAGATTTGATACTTGAGAAAGACAAAGATATAGAAAGTTTATCATGATTATATTCACATTTAATTTGAAAAGTCAATGAATTTATATTGAAGAGAATTTACGGTTGCTTTAAATTTTTTCAAACTGACTTTAAGTCGATCAACTATACTGCCCAAATTCTATTTCATTATATATCACTTCTTTTGAATTACTTCCAGAAGTTTATTATGAACATTCGGTCAATCTTCAACTTTTATAAGAGGTGGTTGTGTAGAAGATTGAGTAGGAAGTTGAGGAGAACTTTCATGTGATTTTTAATGAGGAGAATGAGAACAGGGAGATGGGGTGATGTGAATTTTTTTTTATTGTGGTAAATGAATTTTATGGGGTCGATGCCCATGCCGATTTTCTTGATTTTGTATAGCATTTATGTTAGCCTCAAATTTTTCTGCTTCTTTTTTTGTAATATTCTATAGAACAAGATAAATCTGCAAAGAAAATTAAATATATTATAGGCAAATATATGTTTGTGCTCTATAGTTATGCTTTACATGTGCTATAGTTGCACTTTAAGGGCACTATAGTTGCGCTTTAGGTGCGCTATAGTTGTGCTATAATTGAGTTTTACGTGCACTATGGTTGAGCTTAAGCACAACTATAGCATACTTAAAGCGCAACTCTAAATATAAAACATTTAAACTTAAAATTATTTCATTTTTCCTAAAAAAATTAAATAATTTGATAACACTTTTTTGGGTATAGAATATTTTAGTATTCCCCTCCCATCTCAAAAAATACGGTCTTAATTCTAAATCAGATGATTTATTCAAGAAAAAATATTCCAAAAATCAAATCTGTATAATACCAAATATAAAATATTATAAATTAATATTAAAAAGTTTTATGAGAGGAAAACAACTAGTATGACACGAAATTTATCAGTATGAGAGGGAAAAAATCATTGATGTAACCTAATGATCTTTCCATTTGAAACTTGTCAGAAATTGTATTGAATTCCTCAAATATAAAATTCATTATACATCAAGCTCAATTGATAGAAGTGATGTCACGACCCGACCCGGTGATCTTGCAAAGGCGAGGCGGGAATGAAAATCAGACAGTATGAATTAAGACATTTACATAATAACTTTATTAACATGTCTCCAAACATAAAGAAAACATCCTCGACATAGTGAAAGAGCGCTAAAAATTTTCAAGTAATTTTTGTTCCTTTTTTCATTTCATTCATCAAATAAAATCAACATATACATGAAGATTCATTTCAATTAAAAGTGTTCAACCATCAAAGTTATCATATACATCCATCTATACCAAAACAATAAAAACTCAAAAAGGAACATGTCATCCGTCGTCTCCATACGACGGTAAGTATGCGGCGGTTGGTCCACCATTAATGATTCGCAGGATTTCCTGAAAATTTCCCACAATATGGGTGAGCCATAACTCACTAAGTAAATGCTTTTCAATTAAAATTCAGAAAACAAGGTAGAGAGGTAACATGTATGCCAATACTTCTAGTGTATGAACAATAAACATGTCATAACATTTAGCTAACATGCCTTTAAGTTATCAATTTAGTGTCTTTCCTTGGATAAGCTTGCAACCAATTTCATTATACATTGCATGATTTATTTTCATGATTCATGTGATGCTTCTTATGCATATAATGTAACACATAATTTATAATCACCCATATCGAAAGTATCATTTGTACTGATCAGATACATTTTATTTGGCCATTCATTTACCATTTAGTTTAAAAGAATCCCTTTACCATTTGGCTCAAAAGAGCCCAATTACCATTGCTCAAAAGAGCTCCTTTATCATTGATACTTTCGTATCAACATGCACATACAATCATTCTCTATTTAATCATAAAAAAGAACTTTAGCATATCCTTCATGCATATGGTTTATTATTCCATATCGTGCTACATGATTACATGGTTTCATGAGAAAAGAGACATTGGCTATGTACTTTCTTTAATCGTCGCATGAGAATGATACAATTGCATTACAAACTACCACATGAGAAAGGCACTTGCATAGTAAACTATCACATGAGTAAAACATGTGCATTGTAGAAGGCATATGGTAAAGTGTCTTTAAATATTTATACATAAGTATATATTATTAAGCTAATCATAAGAGCGTGTTGCATGACATTTAAGAGCATGTTAGGATGTAGAAAAAAATACAATTACAATAATGCTATGAATCCCATAATAATACAAGAACATGCTATCGTGGAAAGAAAATAATTTTTTTTTTGAATTTAAAAGAGCCACATTTTACATACCTCAACTTGTGCACAAACATCTGATTGTCCGATCAAATCCTTCCCTCCATGCATTCAATATCTAAAAGAGACATACATATCGTGTAAATATTACTATTCCCCATATAAATTTTCTAAATCCTTAATCTATGATAATAAAGAATTCATCCCTATGTTATGTCCATGCTCTTAAATTAAACCCCTTTACCATTTCATGACGTATTTCATTCCTATTTTTATCTAAATTAGGATTTAGTCATAATCTTAAATTTTTATGCATGCAAACATCTTTTCCTACACTCAAATAGTAATTAAAATGTAAATAAAATTTTGGAATATTTTAAATCAAAATTTAGAAAAATTAGCATTTTATGCAAAATCCCTAAATTTGCCTCTAAAAACCTTTCCAAATCCATTTAGAACCATAAAACTAAAAACTTTCATGATTAGGGAAAACCCTAATTTCTAAAATTTAAAATTTTTCCACAATCTTGCATTATATAGAGACTCTCTTATGTCATTAGGAGCTACTTTTGTGAAGGCATTTAAAAAAAAAAAATTAACATTGAGTGAAACCCTAAAATTTAAAATCCACATTTTTCTTGAAATCAACTCATATTTGTGTTTAGAAACATCCCCCTACCATTCCCTAAACTTATCTCAAATAAAACTTAAGTTTTTATAAAACCCTAATTTTATTTCTTTAGAAAATCTCAAGGGAAAATCATGAAAAAGGTTTATGAGAACTAACCTCACTCTTCCCTACAACTTTCCTTCAATCTCCCTCGCAAACCACCGTCGGAAACTGCCTCCACGACCATCGAATTCGCCTCCTACCCGACGCCCTTCTCCCCTTTCTTCGCTCGGTTCGGGCCGCAAGAAGGAATGGGGACCAAAACATTTTGGTCCCCTATTTAGAATGGAATGCCCTCTTTAATTTCCTATTGACCTAAAAGTCCTTACTTAAAATCACCTCTACTCAAATGACATCAAGGGCAAAGTTGTCATATTGAGATTTTCAGAAATTTTAACTTCCAAAATAATTAAAATTCAGTTTGGGTTCTTTATATCAACTCGCTCAGAATTTTGCACACTATTTTATAAAATTTATTGCGTCAAATTTTGACGACTTTGAAATTTTCACGTAAAACTCGTCACGAGGCATTGAAAAGCGTGCGAAATCTAAAATGACATTTTGCGGGTTTTACAAGTGAACTCAGTTACATTATTTGCTACATATATGAGTCTTCTAGGGGTTTTATGATTATTTAATATATATATATATATATAACAAAAATATTATAAATGTCTTTAACTTAGTAGCATTCTCAGTCAATCTATCTAATTTTGTCATTTCAGTTGATAGAGGTCAAGTTAGGGGATCAATCATCCATTTGATATCATCATATATGTTAGGCAAAATTTTGAGAAATTTTTTGTACATAATACATTTAAAGTAAAAAAAATTATATCCATAATTTCTTATTCAAAATCTTACATGTTAATAAAGCAACATCGTTAGAAGTGAATTTAACTAAATGACCATTCACAATGAAGTCTTCATCAGCAGAATTTCAAAATCTTAAAAAGAAGTGATATACACTGTTGGAAATGCTGAAAATTTTAAAAAAATGATAAATGTTCTAATTTCTTAAAATCTGTTCAAGTTCTTCATCAATTATCTCAACAAAAGTATCACAATTTTTTTTTTAAAAGTTGTAATATAGCATCAAGAAGTAACTGACCTTTGATACGACATCTGAAAAATAAAATAAAATTTTAGAAAAAGCACAACTAAAGTGCAACTAAATTGCAATTAAAGCGCATGTAAAGGGCACCTAAAACGCAACTAAAGGTTTTGGATTATTTGTTTCTTTTATTATGAAGAAGATTGAAGTTCATAAAATAAATATTTTAAGATCATATTGAACAAACACTGCTTTATATAAAATTAACACTAAACCTTAAAATTTAAAATACATAAACGCACCAAAGAGCAACAAAGGCACAACATTACATGTTCTAAATGCTAAAGCACTCCAACGTCGTCATCTACCGCCGGGAAGAAGGTATTGCAGAACAGAATGTATTGCAGAAGTCTGAGAGCAAAGAGCCGAGAGTGACAGAGACGTAAAAATGTAGAGTAAAAAGTAAATAACGCTTCGTTTTCTTTTTTGTAGTTATGAGTTCAAATCATCTTCTGATTATTGGGGTCGGGTTGATTGTACTGACCAGATATAAAACAAAAAGATTATATTAAAAAAAATTGTACTTATTTTTTGCCCGATGTCCACTTTTTATTGGTGTGCGAATGCAGAAATATATCTTGTGACAGGACCTAATAATTTGCCCTATTTATATAGTGCTCCGGCAAACGCGGAAGACGACGAAGGGTCAGCTCTCCCTTCCGAGTTATAATAGATTGATAGAGGGCCGATCGCGAGAAGCCCTAGGTTACGGTCCTCTCACCGGAACGTTAAAGATTCTGTGGGGCGCCATCGTTGGGCCGGCTTCCCCAATATCTGCCGCCCTGAACACTGCACTTCCACTCCGATTTCCAGTCTAAGTGGGAAGATGCATACGATCAACAAACCTACAAAGTACAGGATATCATTAAAGGAGCCTGGGATTCCAGGAGTTCTACGGATGGTGATTCCTTCCTTCTATTTGTTTTTTTCTTTCTTACTTTTTCGAGAACCAAGTTTCAGTCCAATTTGTAGTTCTTCTTTGTAATGTTTGCTGTATCTTTTTTTAGACAAGGATTTAATTCACCTTGTTGTCGGTCTTGTGTTTTGTTCAGGCCGAAGAGCGATTTATTTTCACTCCTCACGATCCTAGATCATTGTTAAAGCTTGATGTGCCATTCAGAAGCATTAAAGGTACTGTTTCTTTTGCTTCCTAAGTGCCTGTTCGGTTGAAATTAGAATTTACTATATCTGTATTTGATAAATCCCAGTCAAATAGGATTTAGGAAATCCTATTGAAAACACAGTTTGGTTGCTTAATTCTTAAATCCAATCGAAATTCTAGACTTTTTGGTTGCAGATTGGAAGATTTGGATTATTTAAAGATATTTAGTATCTCCCGCTTGAATAAAACTCTTAATTCCTGATCTTGCAAGTTTTGATAAATACTAGATTTTAGTCGAGATTTATTAAGTCTTGCTAAATTCAACTTTACTGTAGGATTCAGAAACCCCTTACAAAGCATTTGGGAAGATTTTCACTAAATCCAAATTACATTCTATTTGAATCTGGCAATCAAAAAGTCCCATAAAGGTGCTACAACACACATCATAGTACTTATCTTTATGAGAAATAGTACTAGTTCAAGAGTTCTTTCTCAATTAACTTCAAGTAACTCTTTCTTTCCATCTTCATATTTCGTGTTTCAAGATTTGCTCTATTATTAGATATGGAGTTCTTATTTTGAAGTTACTTCTTTGATTCCTAATACTGATTGAGTTTTTTTAGTAAGACAGGGTTTCCTTGATTGATACGGAAGGAATGAAAATTATATCTTTATTCATACTGACTCTTTTTTTGAAAGTAATGCGTTGTATTCTAGTATTTGAACTTTTCTGCACTAACTAGTGATGGAAAATGCCTTTATCATGTTTTAATAGTCTATTCCTTTTGGTAATCCAACTGATTAAAATCTTCTCCCTATATTTTGATTATTTTATAGTTGGCTTTGTATTGCATTACAAGTTGTGATTTTAGGAAATCTAACATCTAATTATATCCTATACGTACAAGATAAGTGTTGACAATAGATTATAAACTAGTACTTGCGATTTGTATTAAGATATTGCAAAAAGTGTGATGTAATTAATGATATTCTCTTAAAAGAGAGATAAGAAGTTCATTAAATAAGAGGTTTATGTCTTAGGAAATTGTGGGAAGGCAATTGAATATGTGTTAGAAAATTTGAGTCAAATATGTTGTGTATTAACTATTAAATATAAACATTGCATTAGAATCCATTTTTGCCAAACGAAAAACAATAAGATTATGTGCCAAATGGATATTAAAATAAGAAAATGATAAGTCCTATGTGCTTAATATGGATTGTATGTCTTGTTAAAATTGAATTTGTTTGAAAACATAACATTTCTATACAAATTTCACCTAAGATTCACTTAGTATTTTAGATACGGGTAACAATTTAAAAGAAGGATCTTTTAATGATCCAAAGATCATTTCTATTTTTTTATAGAAATGTGGACTTAGTAAATTATACAGTGATAGATCTTGTAGATATTTGGCTACTGACAGGCTGACATATAGCATATATTTAAGAGAATTAGTAATCACTTTCCCAAACTTTACAAATAAAAATAGAGAATAGTTAAGTGTCACTCATCTGTGAGACAACCCAACAATCTTCTTAGAAGCAGCTTCTGACTTTCCACATCTAGAAGTGGGAGGTGCTACTTCCTTTTATCTCATTTTCTCTACATCAATTCATAACATCATCTTTCCTTTACTACAAGAAGGATATCAAATTTGCTGCACATTATTTCCAATATTTGTACTAGATCTCTAGTTTGTGTATTTAAGTAAATCATCTAATGAAAATGTGCACCATGATGTGCTTAATGCCAAGTTGTCTATGGATTTCATCACATATCTACTTTCAACTTTTCTTTCCCTAGCCATTGGGCTTTGTGATTCACCTTTTCAAACTCATCATGACTAACATAATTTTAAACCAATCTTAAATTCAATTCCATAACCTAACCAAATTTAATTAGAGGCAAATACAAAATAAATTTAATTCCTTCGCAAACTCATTGAAAATGAAAGGCCATCCTTTTCTTGCAACAAATAGCCAGACCCCTCTTTTTGGTTTCATGCACAAATCCTTGTTCTAGTCCTCTCTTTCCCAAAGAAAGTAAAATGGAAAATTTTCTTCCTTCATTCATAATATTGCTTCACAATCTTTGCTTCAAAATTCAATGCCCACACCTTTCTAATACGCTTCCTAAAAAATGATAATAACCCCTTAATAAATCTCTACCTAACTTCATCATTACCAATCGTTTATTCCTCCCCCCTTTCTATAGTTATGCACATCCCTCAGATTCTTTCCATATTATACACTACTGCTCAAATTGCTATTTCCATATACACTAACCCTCACCATGCTGCCATACAACAGCCCAACCAACTCACCTGCCTTAAAAATCCAATTCCTCCTCCTGTACTAAATTTAGTTATGACCACCTCCTCTAAAAACATCTCAATTCAAAACGAGTTTCATCATTACCCTAACTCCCCATTCAACCCAAGTTCAATACTTAAATCAATTAAATCACATAATTAATCCAATTAAAGTGAGTAAACCAAACATAACCAAATAAAATGGTCAAGTAAACCCTAATAAATGAACCTAATCTAACTAGTATAGATCTAACGCTATGAGCTAGGAAAGGGAAAAAAAAGAACTAAAGTGTGCCACTTTGATTGACCAACCAAATTCAAATGGTTTGTCAAACCAATTGATTTGATCCTCTGTCTTTTACTACAAGAATTAGAGTAATAATTTGTTTCATAAGTTGTTTAAAGATCTCCATGCTCTTGGAGATCTTCTTCTAAAGATTATTGAGTGTTTTAAGAGGATCTATAATGAGCATTCCTTGATGAAATGACTGGAGATGGCTTGTTATTTCCCATCATTTCACCTTTATCTCACTTTGGGATAGATTTATGACGTGGTGATCCATTTGTCTTTGTTTCACCTAGTAGGATTTTATACTTGATGGTTTTCACCAACAAAAATACGAAAAATGTTTTATTGTTCTACATACAGCTGCTCTTCAACACCGATAATCAAATTCTTTGCACCCAAAGAGAGTTAATGGCAAGCCATATACTAGATATTATGTGTTAGTTCTAGTCTTTATTTTAACTGTTTTGTTGTCATTTTAATAAAGACCGTCTAGTATATATTAGAGTTCTTGGTAATCTAATAATCATGTTTATTGATTTCTTGTGAAAAGTGATTCTTAAATCCTGCTCTCTTTCCTTATGTTTGGCTGGACTCTCCTCTCTTTCACCATCACTCTCTCTTACCCAATCTCCCTTTCTCCCCCTCCCTCTCAACCCTTATCCTTTAACCGGTTCTTCTCTTCCCTGCTAATTCTCTCAGCTAATCCCTTCTAGAACAAGTCTTCTCTCCAATATTTTAACATTGCTGTGCTTCCTTTGCATTAACAGAAGCCAACCTTGAAGTAGGTTTATATTCTAGCGATCAAATATTTTAATTGTCCAAGGGATATTACATAAGGTCATTCTTTTGTACTTTCCATTTTATGAAATCTCTTGCAATCAGCATAGGGTGACCCATTTTGATGCATTTGCCCATCCTTTCCGTTCTTGAGTGTTTCCTCACATTAGACATTTTTTGTCTTACGTGTTTATTGCACTTATTAAGTTATGCACAACTTGTTGGATTATAATATTTCTGGGGTCTTCAATAAGAATCATATAACTTAAAGAAGTTGTAATTTATGGTTATGTGAGTTTTTTTTTAACTTTTTTTTCTTTGCATGTCGTCTTTTACCATTTCAGTTCACAAGTTCAGTAAAGATGGTTCTAAGCAAGCTTTGTTGAATCTTCTGCATGAGGTATGCGACCTCACAATTCACTATTAATATGCTTGTATTTATGAAGCTTTTTGTTTTCCAAAACATAACTCTGAAGGAAAACCCATAAAAAAATATACTTCAATTTATCTTTTACAATTTTTCTGCTTCTCCATTGGTATTTAATGATGTTTACGTTGAAAGCTATGCATCATTTCAGGGTGGAGGCTATATTTTTGAGTTCGATAGTTTCTCTGACAGAAATATTTGTAGAGATTTTGTAGGTAAGTTTTTATTTTCTCTGAGCCTTCTCAAACTTATATTAACTTTCTACACAGTAGTTGTTTTTATAACCTGGTATAGTTGCTAAAATAACCTTTTATGGGGATTTACATTGCAATGCGAATGCGTTATTTTTATAGTTGAGTGATAATCCACTCTTTTTAAAACTTTGTATAACCTCTAATATGATTTGATTTTGCGCATTTTCTGATTATGTGCTTTTAGTTCATTGTTTAACATGGAACTTGAGGACTGAAGTTATTTTTTTATTTTATTTGGTCTCATTGCATTGTTATTAGCATATGCTCATTAGCTGGCATTTTTTCAACGTTTGATTGTATAGTTGCTTGAGGAAAATCTGCATTTTCTGGGGGCTATTTTCAACTTCCTTGTACTTTTTTTTTCCTATATTTTGTATTCCATTGTTGTCACTCTTCACGTATCTGTACTGAGCTTTGCAAAGGAATTTTATTCAAATGGAATGTCAGTGCAACAACTTGCCAATGTAACATGATAGAATGATGTGATGTCATTGTCTTGATTTTTTTTTTCCCTGCATACTATGCCAAGTATGCATTTTAGTATGATTCTTTTTTGAATGTTTTATACTAGGGGTGTTTTTAGTGTTGAATTGTTCTCAGTCTTAATTTCATGTCTTGTGATCATCATAAAAATACTAGGGGATTTAAGTGGCATTGCTGTGGCTGTTTTAAGTTACTATGCTTCGGTACATTCTTTGACTTATATTATTATTATTTTATTTATTTATTTATTTTTTAATTTTTTGACTTATATTATTCCATTGAATTTAGGTTTTTATCTGTTTAAATAAATATTGGCAAGCTAACATATTTTTTCTCGTCCACACATAATTTAGCAAATACAATTTTACAGAAAGTTGCATTTAAAATCATTAACTGAGACAAATGAGTGTCCAAAACTTCTTTTGGTTTTGTATGCTTCTCATTCTTTTCAAAGCAATAAACTATTTGCTGCTGGTTATAGATAAGGATGTATAGTAATCTGATTAAATCTAGTCGTGCCTGCAGTGATGCTGCTCATAGGTAAAATATCAGGTATAATTAAAGCATGCTTGCATGTAAGAAACATTGCATAGACCAAAATCCTAAGATTTAAATCATTTTGGGTTAATTAATCTATTTGAAAGGTCATGCTTAGGTAAAATCAACTATATGGACCTGCTTTATGATCTCTTTGGTAAAATGATGAGAGACACTCAATTGTCCTGAGTGAAACTTAAATTTATAGACTTTGTTTGATGCTTCGCTTGCTCACCGGTGTTGTTTTTATATTATTTAATGGAGTTGATGTTGTGCTTTCTTGCTCTTGTGAAATAGGAAAAATACTTGGAAAACTTCAGGCTACATGTCCTTCAAAAGATGATAAAGCAGTCCCTGACAAAACAACTCCTGCTCCTGGTGAACAACTAAGCCCTATGGAGATGGAACATCGGATCAAGCTATTGCGAGATGATAGGTAATTGCTTAGAGTACTAAAGATCCCTTTTCATTCCCATTTTTCAGATATTTTCTCCTGATTATCCATTGGTGACAATGTGAAATGCAAAATGCAAGTACCTTAATTTCCTCTTTTTATTATGACCTTCTCATTTTATACTAATTATTGTTGCCAGCTAGCTGTCTAGTTTGTTGAATGCTTAGCTATGCATGGATTGCTGCAATGTAGGTGGTTAGTTGCCAGCTAGCTGTCTAGATTGTGACTGAGGTGCATCAAATCAATTTTGCGCAACTCGTGTCCATTGTTCGTATTTATCATGTTCGATTAAATAGATTGTGGGTTTATGTGGAGGTCAACATGCATAAGCATTTTTCTATTCAATTTGGTTGAGCTTCCTTTTTTATTTGGATTTATAATACCTCACCTTATCATGAACTTTTTGATCACTAGAATTTTTTCGACTTTATGGGTCTGTTTTTCTCTTTCTATTGAATTGAGTGTTGTTTGAGGTGTTAGGACTATTTAGTTTAAATATCATTGCACAATTTCTATCTTTATTATCTTTGGCTTGGTTCTTTTCCTTCACATCACGTCCACAATTTTTTTCACTTGGCCATCATACTATGTGCTTCTTCTACCTTGTATTATCCACTACATCTTCATTAAGTTGCTGCTTGCCCATTCACTCATATATAATCATGTTTCAAAACATCATTTTTAAAGTGTCACACATTCAGATTAAAATTCCTATATCTTTTGCATTCAACTTGATTTATCGCACCTAACCTTAACGAAACAAAAAAAACCCATGTGAGATCCTAACCCCAAAATTGTGAGCAATATTTGATGTACATATTTGTTTATGATTAGCATAATTCAGAGACAATTTATGCCATCTTTTGAAAAACAACTGGGTGCTAATTGTTCATCTTTATCTTCATTTTGCATGAATTCACATCTAGAGAAGACTCAAAATGCTATCGAGGATCTCTAACTTTACCAAAACATTTTCATTCCTTCAATTCTTATTTTGTATTAACATTCAAAGACTGCATCACCCATGGTATAACGAAACCATAATGCACTGGCGATTGTCTGACATCTTAGTTGACAAACTGATTACATTGATCTGAAAAGTTACAACCGAAATCATCATCTTCATTGTTAGCCTTATCTAAACTATTTGACGTTGGCATTATGAATTCTCCAACCCGATTCATTTGTGCTGAGCGCTATATGTGGTCTTAATAATTAGCACAGTGAAGGAGTTGGGCGTTGAAATCCTGTTGATCATCAACGATTACAAGGTAGCCATTAAGGCAGTGTCCCTACATACAGCCCAAAAATATTATATTAAAAAAAAGGAAACAGCCTAAGCTTTATGCTCCTTATTTCAGGTAAACATGGTAACATTTGTTTACTATGTTTTGTGCATTGCATAGGCATATCTGAAAGTTGTTATATGGTTTGTTCAAGTTTTAGTTATCTTTTTCGAATTTGTCCCCTCGGTTTTTTCTGTTGTAGTTCAAGTATGCTTAGATGTTTCAAAACCATGAAACTGAAATGCACTTTTGACAGTGAATTACAGAGACTGCACAAACAATTTGTCATGACCGGTATATTGACAGAATCTGAGTTTTGGGCAACAAGGAAGGTTGTTTGTTTTTCTTTCACTTGCATTGAGTTTTTTGCCTAAGTTTTTCTCATCTGATGTTATTTTTGATATTCACATGTCCTTGCACCACTCTCGCAGAATTTATTAGATGATACTACCATTAAGGTGTCAAAACAAAGAACTGGGTTCAAAAGTACTATGCTTGCTGACATCAGGCCGGCAACTGATGGTCGGGTATAGTTTTAAGAATGTCCTAAATTTTCTTTTCTGTTGCTGGATTAGAACAAGATCGATGGGATTTCAATTATTGCTATCAATCTGCACCCTTCCTCTCGTATCTTTTTATTGAATCATTTGCAGGCTAAGGCTCTTATGTTTTCGATATTGATGTTTATTTACAGACAAATAAAGTCACGTTTAGTTTGACACCCGAGATAATTCATCAGGTATGTAAGCTTTAAACCCCCATGAATTCTATATACTTGCAACCAAGTATCCCTTTAGTTGCATTGCACATACAATTAACCAAATGTTCGTTAGTTGCCTTCATGAAATTCTAAATTCATGCATCGCTCAAGGTATGCTAGGTATGCTAGGATCTCATATCTTGAAGGTCTTGAATATTAAGTGAAGATGTGCCATATTTTTTAAATTACCATTACTACTTTTTCTTTTTCTTTTTCCCTTTTTCAATTTTCTTTTCATTTTAGTTAGGATTATCATAATTTTAGGTGATTTGTCTTCTTTATTGCTTTTACATCTTCTAGGGTATGCCAGCCTTGGCATACATGGCTGGCATACATAGGGAATTTTAAATAAATTATAGATATTATTCCCTTATGCCAAAATAATCTATATTGAAGTTTCCATCCGCCTTTTAAAATGGTTGTTCAAGTTGATAGGATCCTTTTGTTTCCTACAAGTACCTGATGTATGTGATATGCTGAACTAATATTTATTATTTTTGTAGATTTTTGCTGAAAAACCTGCCGTTCACCGTGCTTTTCTTGATCTTGTACCCAAAAAGGTAAACCTGTCTATTTTTAATTGATATTGTTGAAATTTTTTGTTGTTTCCTATCTCTCCCTTACATCGAACAATAATTTGGATGGCTAGATGTCTGAAAAGGATTTCTGGACAAAATATTGTAGAGCAGAATATCTTCACAGAACCAACAATTCGGTGGCTGCAGCTGCAGAGGCAGCTGAAGATGAAGAGCTTGCTGTATTTTTAAAGCATGATGACATATTAGCTGATGAAATTCGGCATAAGGTACTTTGTATCCATTGCCATTGTCTTTTAATAATTCCAGTTTTGTAAGGGTTTATATCTTCTTAAACTTTTGATCTTACTCATATGTCAATTCCATATATTTTATTTAATAATTAAGTGAAGTTTATTTGAAGTAAAAGTTGTGTATACTTGCTATTTGTATGTCGCATAAAACCATATCAATGCCTTTTATTTTTTGATGATGTGTAAGTTATGTATATGTAGGACGATGAATTTCTTTTGAACATATTTTGCAGTTGGGGTTTTATGGTTGAGATATGAAATAATGTTGTACTCTTTATACTTTGCTGTTATTTTGACATGTGGTCCTCAAGATATGCTGAAATGATTGCAGATTAGACGTGTTGATCCAACCTTGGACATGGAAGCTGATCAGGCGGATGACTACATCCATCTTCAAGTATGTGTATTCTTATTTTCAGAAACTGACAATGGTATTTTGTTAATTTTTTAATTCATTTCTTTAAAGTTTAAATTGCATTACTTTGAAATTTCTCGTTTATCTTTTTTTTTTTTTCTTGTTTTTTGTATGTTCCAGTGGAAGATAAGATTAGAGAGAGTCGCCTTAGATGATTTGGTCACATAAAACGGCGGCCTTTCGATGACCATCTTAGGAAAGTAGAGGTATTAGATTTGATTTATGTTAAGAAAGGTAGATGGAGACCTAAAAAAGACTTGGTTAGAAAATATTAGAAATAATTTTTTTTTTAGATTTAAACGAGAAATTGACTTTTAACAGGACACAATGGAGAAAAAGAATTCATGTAGCCGACCCCACGTAGTAGGACAAAAGCAAAAGCTTGATGTTGTTTTTGTTGTTGTTTTCTTATGTCCAGATTTACTTATATATTGTAGAGTTTGAGGCATATTTGTGTTGCTCACATTAGTCCTTGATTGTAATATGTCCTCTATCCTAACTTTCATGAATATGCCTTAACTAGATATATACTTAATTCTGGAAAAAAAGTGGCTTGCTTATTTAATGGATGATAATCTTTCTTGTAAAGCCTACTTTTTGGTTCACTCATTATAGGCACATGAGCTATACTATTAAAATTGTGTCGGGGAAAAAGTTTTCCATTCTAGCATAAATATATTAATTTCTATGTTGTTGAATTCTTTCTTCGGTTTCCGACCTACTCTACACTATAATGGTTGCAATACATTTGTTTGCTTGCTCGAGTTAAAAAATTATGAAATCTGTGCCATTTTGCATTCTAGCATTACATAATAAAATGTTCAATCAAATTAGTTTGGTTGCAAGAAACCAACAAAATCTGAAGTATGAAAGCCTAGTAGAGGTTCATTTTCCTAAGCTAGGTATTGTGAGCGGTTATAGGCTGGCAAGGCTCTAAATTTTCGACTATGCTTATTAAATAAATTTAACCATCCTGGTTGATACAGAGTTTCTGAATGAAAGCATCTCATGATTTTGCCATAATAAATACTCTTCGGAACTCATCAATCTTTGCGAACTTTTGCTAATGGTCTCTGAAACTTTGGCCTGGTAATCCTGATAGTATTTTTTTGTTGTATCTATGTGATATTTATGGTCTAGAATACTTGATCTTGATGGCCATAATCTTTGTCCTTACATCCTAACTTAAAAGACTTCTAGTGATACTATTTTGTAGGTTTAAGATCTTATCTATTGGTTTGATCCTCTCTTTCTAAATTGTTTCAGGATCATGGTCTTTTACGTGATGGAGGAAAGGAGACTGTTGATGCTGAGAGCGAATTATCTAGAAGGACCCTCTCACAAGATCTTAATCGGCATGCAGCTGTTGTCCTTGAAGGAAGGGCATTTGGTAGGTTAACTTATGTATTCTTATTTCTATGTATTGATTAATCTGCGATGTTAGATCTCCAATTAAAATATACCTTATTGAGATGTAGTCTTGATTATATATTGTGTTATATTGATTCCCCCATTATTACTAGCAATCTCGTAATTTTCATCATCGAAAAGGATCAATTTTTTATACAATTTTGATATTTTTGTAGGATGCTTAAGTTATGCTTGTTGACCGATTAAATTGAATATGGCGAAAATATGGCCAATGGACGTGATATCGCACATGTTGGCTTGAATTGATCACACAAATTGGAAATCAATGAAATGTCACTTATTACATGAAACACTTTCCATCAATGTGAGCGAAGCGTCAGTGTTTCCAAGGAAATTCCCCACAAGCGATTCGATAAAATATGAATAAAAAGATGGTCAACAAATATAATGTCATGTAAGCTTCGTTCGAAGCACACTAACACATTCAAAATATTGTAATTTCTCGGAAAGGAGACCCATATTGCCTTATGAAGGAGAAACACAATTTGTTCGCGTGCGATAACATGAAATTTGAGATGCAAAAAGAACAAGGAATTGCATTCGAATATCAATACAATTTTTATTATATTTTACTTTTGAAATTTAACAAAATAAAATTAATTAGAAAATTATAGTAAAAAATAAGTCAAATCCCCCATAACCGTAAATTTCGTGAATCCAGCTCCTTGTACGTGCTTCTCATCCCTTGCGTAATGTCCTGATAGTCGCTCATATCGTGTCTCCTCACCTTATACTCCTAACTTGAAACCTTGATGACAAAGAAATACAAAGTTGTATGAACTCAATGTAGGCATTGACTAGGTTAGCTCTCTGAAGAACTCAGTTGAAAGCCTATTGGAAGAAGGCATTGATGGGGCTACTAACGTGTGAAGGGGAAGAGGAGTTTTTGAGAAATGTGGATTTGAGTTAAATCCACCCAAGGGCCAAATTTACTAGAAATGGGATTTAAGATATTAGAGGTTTAAAGTTGTCTTTTTTATTTTGTGATGGGATTTATGTTATATCGTACTCAAAGTTTTTTTGTTAAATTCCTCCTTCCTCTCCTCTCTCTCTCTTCCCCTCTCACTCATTCTTTCTCTATCTCCCCCTCACTCATCCCTCTACTCTCTCTCTCTCTCTCTCTATATATATATATATATATATATATAATATAAGAAAAATATATAAAAATGGAGAAATTTTGTGTTTTGCCGTATTGAAAATTTGCCGTCTCGCTGGGTCGTACAATATAAAAAAGTAAGTACTGATACGTGTTATTCAAATCTGACGGGGAAAAATACAAAATAAGTGGTTGCATTCATTGTTCCAATGCGGCGAAGAAATTGTCGTGTTCGGTTTGTCTAAGTGTTGAAGGTTTATGAGTGCTTTTTGAGCATGGTAGGTGATGGGGACATCGATAGGAGATTTCGGCGCGTTTATCAGAGACGACACAGGAGATCGATGGCCATGATGGAGAGCCTTTACTATTGATGCCTATTTGTATTAGCATTTCATGTATTATGTATTTCTTTTTTTTTTCAGTTTTTCCATTTTGTCCCATATGGGTAGTTGATTGCTTTTGTGGCCCAAGGGGCATGTTAGTCTTTTGTATTAGTTGTCATGTAGAGCCTATATATATGGCTCTTGTATCTTGTATGAGGATTATTGATTATTGAAATGAAATTATTCTCTTTGTGAGTTCATATTTCCTTGATCTCTTGGTGAGTTCAATTCTCCTAGATCTCTGTGTGAGTTCTATTAGAGGAGTCGTGAGGCTTGTGATCTCTATTCTCCCACCTTCTCCACCATACAAATCCACAATCCAACTCAAGCACTTGAGAAGCCCAAGCCCCCTTTGTTGCCGCTGCCCTTGGAGCCCCAACCCGCCGGCCACCCTGCCTCCACCAGCCGGCCACCTTGCTGCCGGCCTCTCCCCATCCACCCTCCATCCCTCTCTCCCCTAGCCTTCTTTGAAATTTGAATTTCAAAATTCAAATTCTTTCCAAATTTGGAAAGTCCAATTTAGGAAAGTTGTAAATTTTTTTTTTGAATTCAATTTGAAATCAAATTGAATTGGATTCATTAGAATTTCTTTCCTAGTCATCATCCCAATTTGGAAACCCCCTCTCCTCTCCCAAACTTCTCCCCACCTCCTTGATGCTGCCAGCCCCCCCTCATTGGGCTTCCCATTAAATGCCCAATTAACCCCTACTCCCTATTTTGAAATCCAAAATTAATTTCAAGAAACTTCCCTCCAATTTCACTTAAAACTGAAATTGATTTCAGTTTTCTACACAAAACCCCTCTCCCCTCTCCTCTTTATGCCGCCGACCCCATTCATGGGCAAATTCCCACTCTTGCCAAATTAGCCCCCCACCCTCATTAATTTTGAAATTGAAATTCAAATTACTCCCTCCAAAACCACTTAAATCTGAAATTAATTTCAGATTTATTAAAACTTCCCTAAGTAATTCTCTAACCTAGCCGCCCCCTCTCATCCCAAGCCTCAACACCGGCCAACCCCTCCCCTCTTGGAATTTCTTGTCGTGATCTCTCATCCACAAGTCAATGTTGCATGGAGGATCCCGCCATTGATCACGGACTCGAATACGACATCTACGGATCCATCCACGTACTTCGATCTCCTTTCTTCGATGTTGGATTTGGCTTTGACGGCACCATCGAAGATTATTTGAATCGAATCCTCCCCACCCTTGTGGACGACGTCGACGACCAATTTTCAGACTACGAGTAGATCATCAACGGTCATCCTTCCGCGCCACCTCCACCTCCAAGGACCTTCCCAACAACGACGTTCCTCGGCTCCTCCCTCCTCGTGGCGACCTCATTTCTAGCGTGGACGATCTTCCTCCGCTCAACCTAGATTCGTAGGAAAGAGAGAAAGGTCTCAAGTAGGGGTGTCAATTTCGGGTCACGGGTCGGGTTCGGGTCGAACCCGGAACTGACCCGGGTTCAAACGGGTTAACCCTAACCCGACCCGGGTAGACAAACTAAGAAGTTGAGCTCAAATTTACTTCTCTTCCAAAGCATGTAATCATTCAAAGACGTGTAATTTTTTTTGAAAAGCGTGCAAACTCTCTTTTAAAGTTAAGCTCACATGCATCAATATGTTACGTGCACTATCTCGTGCGGGTCGCCTTGCATATGAGTAGAGTCATGTCTTATATTACAAATTTGATCCTCCACATCCCGTGGATTGGTATTGATAATATTTGAGCCTCAATGAGGGGTTTATTGATTGAAATTCTTAACCGGAGGGGATTTTATTTTTAAAGTTCTCCAAATCCCAATGTAGATTATTTCAGGTTATATCCAAATAAAATTAAAAAAATATTATTATGAAATACAACAATAGTCAATTAAATCTATTATCTCAAAGCTTAAAGTGAAACTTTAACCACCTTATGCAATAATTTGTTGAGGGTGATAAATTTAAATTTAATCTCAACTCACATAATGTTAATGTCAAATCAAGTTCATCATTATGATCACTCTAAAAAAGTTCTCACATTAGTAAGGACATGACATGTGTCCTTTAATTGTGTGATTTTATTGTCAAATGATTTAATTAAATAGCGATTATGATCGAGACTATATTAATGGGTGTTTTTGTTATAAAATTACACAATTATATTACGATCACAATCATAGCCTAGATGTTTTGATGAGGACATTGTTAGCAATTTCAACACGTGTACCATCGGAGACACCGGAGATCGACGGCCAAGATCAGGAGTTTTATTTTAAGTCATTTTATGTAGTGGTTTATTTTATTTTTCAGTTTTTTCATTTTTATCCTTATGGGTATCTGTTCGCTATTGTAGCCCAAGGGGCATTTTAGTCTTATGTTTCCTTTGTCATTTTGAGGCCTATATATATGACCATTTCTTATGTAATGAGGATGATGGATGATTGAATGAGAATTTTATTTTGTTTCTTCTTACTCTTCTTGCATTAGAGCTAGAGAGAAGTGAGAGAGAAAGCCCAAGGTGAGGGCAAAAGCAATACCCACCAGTAATTGGAAGAGTCTGTGGCTCGTGGTTTATCCCCTTCATCCCGCTCTTCTTTCTTTCCCCAACCCGCCGGCCCTAGCTCTTCCCATAGCCGCCGACTACACACCCGTTCCCGTATCCCACACATCATTTCATCCACTAACTTCCTCCACTTCAACTCCAAGCTCCTTCAAGATCCCCAACCTGACGACAAAAGCCCCTCCTCCTTCTTTGGCCGCCGGCCACATGCTTGCCTCAAACCATAATGATGATATCAATCATCATGATGGCTCCTTGATCCATGTCTCGCATTAAATTGAGGAGTTACCGAATTTTGAAATTCAAAATTTTGAAATTCGAAAACTTTCCTTATTTGCGAAATCTAAAAAAAAGGAAAGTTTTCAAATTCAAATTTCATATGAAACCTAATTGGAGGAGTTATTAATTTCCCTCCAACTTTTCATTCCTTTTTGGAAAGAGCTTGGTTCCCCCCTTAATCCCTCCTCCTTCCCCTCTACATGCCGCCGGCCTCCTATGAGGCTTCCCCTCACTAATTGCCACCCCCTCCCCCATTTGAAATTAAAACATTAATTCAAATAAATCTCCCTCCCAAATTTTCAAATCCTGAAATTAATTTCAGAATTTGAATTAAAACTCCTCCCCCTCTCTCTTCAAAACCGCCGGCCTCCCCCTCTTTGCTCCCCTCATAACTCCCCCATTCAAGGCATTAATGCCTTTGATTTGAAATTCAAATTCAAGTCAATTCCCTCCCAAACCTAATCAAATCTGAAATTAATTCTCAGATTTTGATTAATCTCCCATACACTCCACTAAACTTAATCTCTCCAATAGCCCCTCTCCCCTTGCACCCGCCGGCCTCCCCCCCTTTTTTTTTTCTTGGGAATCCCGCCGCCCACCTCTTCCCTCTTCTCCCACCACCCTCTCTCCCTACTCTCTCCCGTGGGAGCTTTGAAGCCAAGAGGAGAAGAAGACGACGCTCTTCCACCTCCTTTCCCCTTGGGTACTCCTTCAACCCTTGGCGAGAATGCATGGCGGAACCCGAATGGAACTTTGGATTTGTGCATGACGATCGAGATCAAGTCGACATTATCCAATCACCATTCTTTGACGTGGGCTTTGATTTCGACGACACCATTGAAGAATACTTCGACCGTATCCTCTACACGTTAGTTGACGTGATCGACGAGCAAAAGTCAAAGGGACGTTGGATCATCATTGGACGACAATCATCCTCCACCACTCTGGCCACCTATCCAAGGACGACGACCCTAGGTGCCTTCTTCCTTGGAGTGACCTCGATTCTAATGTGGATAATCTTCTCTTGCCAAAGCCTAGTGTAGTTGAGTGATCAATCCCCGAGGTGAAACTCTCATTATTAAATTGTGGATTGTTAGCTAATAGCTCTTCGCATTGCTATTATTTTTGTTTATCTACTAGATTTGGTTACTCTACATGTGCTCCTTCGCCTAAGAAAGTAGAAAACTAAGATTTTTTAATGAATTTGCTTGTTATTTCAATAAGTTATTAATTGAGATTTCATTGTCAATTATTCCTAAATTTCTTATCAAGCTCCTTTTGCATGTGGTTTTACATCATGTCTGCCATAGGCTTGAGCCTCCTTGAGTTGTACCGTTGTACGTCAAGTTGCACTTAAGATAACGTAAAGCTCTCTATCAGCTAAGGTTAGCTTAAAATTGTCCCATTAGACAAACATACACCCTAGATCTACAAGTTCCTTCTGGATGAGGCAACTAATGGCTATTAACAAGGATACTTCAATTAGGTTGGGTCAACTACCTCTGCTAAGTAAGTAGACTAGGATCCACAACAAACTGAGGCGACATGATCATGGGATTCTGATTGAGTTCATTATTATTCCCGCTACCATCCACTCAATAAGCTAAAAGCGGTAAATTTCCTCAATCATAAGCTCGAAATTGCTGCTAATATACGCTAAGCACTGAACATCTATTAATTAACCTTAATTGAAAGTTCTCTTGTTTTCGGGATTGGTGAGCCTATGAAAAACTTAGAACCAGATCTTAATTCCTCGCTAAATGAGAGAAAAATTTATGGATAGTAATTTTTTTGCAATGGACTCTGTCTTCTGAAAATTTGACCTGCAACACATACTCTTCCTAAAGTGCTGGGCGCAAATTTTCGGGCCCCAAAATGCTTGGTTAGTTTGGTAAATTTAGCTGACAAATCTACGATAAATGTATTTGAGAGGATCAATTTCAAAGATTACATAACTCAGCTGGAAAAGTGCAGAACTTAGGGTTGTAACTGCCACTTTCATCTCATTTGGGTGATTGAGGTTTTGAAATCATAATGGGAATCTTCTGCAGATGTAAACAAATTCCTGTAAGTTTCTGTATGTAATGCAAGAAGAAATTTTGAATACGTTGCACGTATTTCTGGTTGGAAAGGTAAGTAACATTTTCTTATTTGTTGAGCTGTGTTTCGAATTGGCATGCTATGAGAGAGAAAACGTAGAACTAATTCTCCAAAATAGTATTAGCACCAGTTACTAGTGGCTTATGATGAAGTTTCCTTCCTAGTGATTTTCCATGCAAATATCTATACTTATTTGATAGGTTATTATTGTTGTATTTTTTAGAGTACTTTTTGATGTGCTAATCTTAATTGTAAGCAATCAAGTTAATGATCATTCGGGTGAAAACCTTCTCATATAATATTTGCTATGATCATTATTTGATTTTTGGTTGTAGATGTTGAGTTGGGAGATACTAGGACAGTTGCTGAAGCTCTTGCAAGGTCAAAGAAGGGTTAGCAATTATTGTTCTATTTTTCTCTTGTTCTTTAACTTTTATCATATCTTCTTTTCAACGGAAGTTTCCCTTACAATATAAATCCTGTATGCTAGGGCCTTCTCTTGAAGCTTTTGATAAGAATGAAAGCCAAGAACGTCTAGAGAAGGCTTGTAGAATGACTGAGATTGAAGATCTTCGAGGACCTCATCAGCTCCCTTATGCACCACTGTTTATCAAGGTATTAAGCGGTGGGTATGATTTTATTTCCCCATCTTCTGTTTTACCTGATAACTTATTCAGATTTTATTTCCAGGATCCTCGTGAGTACTTCGACTCACAACAAGCCAATGCACTTAGGGCTTTAGGTGATAGTAATGCTGGTTTCAAAAACACCGACTACAATTTTAATTTGGAGGAATCCTATGCATATTTGATGAAGCAGATCTCTGAAGCAAAAGTGTCAGGGTTGAATGATATTGTTCAATCTGACGTTGCCCATAAGGTAAAATTCTCATGTTTAATGATTTTCATCTTATATTTCATGCCCTCTTGATTGCCTATATCTTTCATGATCGAGATCTGATGTAGATCGTCTACCATATTCTGTTATTTGACATGGGCTACATGCTCATAATCAAACTTGCCTGCCTAACATCAAGAAGATCCTTAGTTACAGATAATCCAGACTCAGGACTCTTACTAAACTAGTCTTTAAAATGCATCCTACATCACCGACATTCTTTCCCAATAGGATGAAGCACATCTTAAAATTAGTTTTGATTGACTTTGTAGTGGTATTTACTTGAAAAATTTTGATGCTTTCATGTACGGGTGGCATTGAATTGATTTCGAGCAAGCCATCCTGAACTTTAAAAATTTTTTTTGAGTTGAGTTAGAAATGATCCTTTCAAAATGATTGTCAGATTGATGTGAGAATCTCTATTAAAAAAGAAGCTTTTGAAAATTCCATATATATATATATATATATATATATATAAATGTGTATTGATACAAATAAATGTGAATTAATACATATATGTAGTGGATTAAAATTCAAACGGTCATTGGGTGAGTTTCAAACCTAATTATGAACCCCTTCGATTCATTTAGAGGCAAATATGCTTTATGACCTTAATATATTTTGAAAATTAAACTGGGCTCATAGAATGTGGTATACATTTTATTATATCCGGAGGAGGAAATTTTGAGCCTCTGTAGAAACTTGCTACGCGGTGTATTTTTATGCTGTTCTGCAGTTGCAGTATTACAGTTTTTTACTTTCCATTATTTGTCGGAACTTCAATGTCTAATCCATTTCATTTCCCGAGATGAAATTTCCTCATATTATGATCATTTTTTCTGCATACAACTATTCCATCACTTTAAAAAATGATTATTATCATAACATTAACGAGTGAACTAAACCTAACAATCGCTTTCTACTCGTTTTGTCTCGTTTGCTAATTGTAAAGATGGAATTTGGGCTCTGTTTGTTCTTAAGAGAAAATGAACTTAATAATTTTCACTCCTTTTCTGAGTTTTATGTGGCATTGCTTTTGTATGCTTTGTATATTCATCAATAATTATAATTGCCTGGAGCAGGAAAACCTAACTACCTCACTGGTATGAGCTAGGTCCTTAATGGGTTGAATCAACATCTTTCAAGTACAAAGCAACACATTGGAAAGGGCCCCTTTGAGAGTGTCCTTGACCAGCTGCCAAGTAGGACAAAGGATGAGCTCATGATTGTAAGTTCTGCTACTTTACATACTAAAATAGCCAAATGTTGTGAAAATGGTAAAGGCTGGAGCACGTCTATTGTGAACATGAGGATGTCACACTCTAGTGGCTCAAATGATTTTATTGTTGACCTAATCGTCTTCTTCTGATGCCTAAATTGCTTTGTAATCTTAAATGTAAGACAATACAATGTCTCATGTAATTTAAAATTTTAAAGTTAATATATGTTTGGAAGATTTTTAACTTTTATTCATCCTAAGAGATGCTCACCGGCCCTAGGGTTGTCAAAATGGGTTTTCAGGTCGGATTCGGGTCCAACCCGAAATTGACCTGTCACTATTTGACCTAACCCGACCTGATTTTGGAAACGGCTCAGAAATCTGAACCTGGGCATGACCTGCCCCAAACCCGGGTCAACCCAACCCAACCCAACATGTTGACCATGGCGCAGAGCAGGTGAGCTCTTGTGGGCTGCGGGGTGCTGGGTTGAGCGTGGGATCAAGCAAGGGTGAGGGTCATGAGTCATGGTGCTGACGTGGGTGCGGGGTCGATCCGCGAGTGTGGGCGAGGCAGGATGCGGGTGCGTTGGTGCAGGGCTGGCAGCCCGTGTGCGGGCAAGGCACTGAGGCAGGACAAGGGGGCGAGCGTGGGTGAGGTAGGTGCGAGTGCGTCATGCGTGGTGCGGGACGCGGGATTGAGTCGAGTGACGAGATGTGGGAGGGATACGAGTGATCCGGGTCAACTTTGGGTTTTCGGGTCAACCTGAACCTGACCCGATTTTTAAAACAGGTCAGAAATTTGAACTTGGATCTGACCCATTTGCAAAACGGGTCGACCTGCAAATATTTACACCCCTGCCCAACCCTTTGTTTGCACATCAGTGTCGCAATTAACTTGCCAATAAATTTTCTTGTTATCCTATTTTTGTCTTTTTCCTAAATTATCTAAATCTTAGACGTGGATAGCTAGATGTAGTTTGTGATATTTCTTTATAGTTAATTTATAAAAAAACTGTATTTTCTTGGTGAACTTTTCTCAGAAGATGGGTGCTTGGCCTCCTTTGCATGCTCTTTGATGATGATTCTATCTCTAACTTTATTTTTTCAGCATTGGTCATCTATTCAGGAACTACTGCGCCATTTCTGGTCATCATATCCTATTACAACTGGATACCTCTATAATAAGGTAATATTTTGATCTATCGCATGGTTTCTGTTGTCACATTTAAAAACATTTATATACTCAGTAGTTTTTTTTAGTACTATTTATGCTATTTCATTCATTGGACAGTAAAATAAAAGCAATTATAACTCAAATACTATCACTTGAATTTTTATTTGAGCCATTTGAAAGTCTTATTTTGTGCTTTCCTTAAAATTTGTGTAACAATGATCCAGTCACTATCTGTTTTTTAATAATCTTTATTTCATCCATCCTTCTGTCAATGAATCAGTTTACGTGTTGCTAAATTGAATAAATGAAGCGTTGTGGAAGTTTAATTATGAAAAACTGGAGTTATGAGTATTTCAGCTTTGATAGTAATTTCCTATGTGATTTGAAATGAGTAGTGCCTAAAATGATTTAAGTGTAAAGTATTAGATAAAATATATTGAATATCCTTGCAAATATCATGAAAATAATTTTAATTTGCATAGCTTTGATAGAGGATGCTAGATTGATTGTTAGTTGCATGAAGGACTTTGTTAATTTTTTTTTATATCATCATGTAATTAAGGATGGAAATGATATTGATGGGGACATCAGATCAGCGTGGAAGGTTTATCAGAGACGTGGCCGCCGATCTACGACCACGATCGAGTCCTTGTATTTCTGAGTTATGATTGTATTTTATTCATGCATTTTCTTATTTGCTTAGGTGTCGTTATTATTTCCCTCTGTACCCCTCTCATGGGAGTTCTCGCATGTAAGCCCAAAGGGCATTTGAGTCTTTATTTCTTTGAGTCCATTGTACTTGGCTATATATAGCCCTTTGATTATTATTTCATGCTTAATGAATGAATGATTATGATAAAATTTTCCTACACGTTTGAGAGTTCTTGGAGCGAGCATTGGAGAGAACCCTTGGAGAGGGAGATTGACGCATCACCCACTAACCTTGGATACAGCCGGGTTCGTGATTTTCTCTTTGTATTTTCGTCTTCCCTCACCACCTTCCATCATTCGTCTTCGTCACATCCAACTCCACCAAATTTCCCCCAACTTCCTCCATACACCAAGCTCCACTAAAAATCCCCCATAGCCTCGGCCACCTCCATCCATCCCCAATTGGCCGCCGGCCAAGGCCCCAACCGCCGGCCCCATCTCCCTTGGTCCCCTTTAATTTATTTCCTAATTTGGATTGAAATTAATTGGGATTAATTTTAAATTCAAATTCATCCAAATTTGAATTCAAATTATTTCCTAATTTAGTTAATCTATTTTAGGAAAGTATTTGATTTAGATCCACTTTTGAATTTTAAATTCAAGAGGATTTAAATTGACTATTTCCTAAATCTAAATCCTAAATTAGGAAACTTTTAATTGCTCCCACCAATCAATTCCCCACCCATGCATGCCGCCGGCCCTCATACCCTCTCCCATTAATTCCCTCTCAAATTATTTCCTAACTCCAACACCTTACCTAGGAAATATTTCAAAACTCCCAATCCCCATCTGGCCGAATTTCCCAATCACCTCATGCTTGCAATTATTTTCTAAATCAATCAATTAATTTAGGGAATTCAAATTCCACCGTTTTTTCATCCAGCCGCCCCTCTTATTTCCCTTTTCATCTTGCCGCTCCTCTGTCTCTCACCAATCATCTCTTTTCCCTCTCCTTAGGCCAAGTCATTGGATGCCTTGAGTTCTCTTCTTCCAAGCCGCTTCTACTACATCAAATAATCTGAGAGTTCTCTCAGATTTCTGGAGCAAAACCTGAGCTCATTTTCAGGTTTTGAGATCTACACTTGGAAGTTGTTCCCCAACCCATTATTAGAGAAGCCTCTTTCTTTTCATCGAAGTTCGAGATTGCTAACATTCTTTGGAAGAAATCATCCTTGAGCATTCATGATTGGCGGATTCGGAAACTGATTACGTCATAACTTGGGACGAAGACGGCTACGTAGATATTCTACAATCCACATTCTTCGATGTGAACCCAAGGATTGATTTCACCGTCGAGGACTACTTGGAGCATACATTGATATATTTGGTAGAGGCTATCGACGAACATTTTGAAGGCATTGAGTAGAGGATCTCCACAACTCCCTAGCAAAGGTTTCTCCTTCCCTTGCATCTTATTTCTTTTAAGTATAAATTCTCATTGGTTTGATTGCAGTCGCGAAAGGCTACTCCAAGTGCTCTTGCTAATCTTAGTAATTGTAGGTTTTGAGCGTACTTTCACTGCATCCTAATTCTCGTTGTTAGATTAGGGATTGATTTGAAGGCTACTACTTTGTATTGTTTTATTTTCTCATTTATCTTGAAATCTTCAAAACTCAGAGCATGTGATATCGCCTAAGCAAAGTATTTCCTTATTTGTTTTGAATCTTTGTTGAGAATTGCTAGTAATTTTATTCTAAAATTATTCTAATCTAAGATCTGTGCAATGCCTAAATGAATCCATAAGCATCTCATCTAAATAGTCATGCATCAGATATGTTCTCAAACTTGTTTAAACCTAACAGGGTGTTGAAGTTATTTGATTCAATTTTTAGCTGAGCTAGGTTTGGCTATAGAATACCTCAATTCAATCGGGATTATTTAGTCATTTTGATTTAAGATTAATACGAGCCAATAATGATTTTAATTTCAATCAATATTCGTTCTTTGAAGATAAAATATTAGTCCACCCCATGAAAAATCAATCTGAGTGTGTGTTTAGACCTGGCTCATTAGTCAACTCATTGATACTTTCCTAAGCTTGATTCGAGCAAAGAAGTGATCCAAAATTTAAGCGATTCTCGACCTTTAGAGTCCATCATAGACTCACTAATGGTCATCTCTCTCTCTCTCTATCTCTCCCCTTCATTGTTGCAATGATTTGATAAGGGGAATACACAATATTTCTCCTCCTCTTTTTCTCTGTTTATACGTTTTTTTGGGAGAAAGAAAGAGAAAGATTGAGTAGGAGAGAGTGGGTGAAAGAGTGTGTTTTAGAGAGAGGCAGAGAGTGGGAGTTTTGGAGAGAAAAGGACATGAAGAGAATGAGAGAAGAGAGCTGGAGAGCAAGAAAGGGAGAAGAAGAGAGAAAGTGAGAGAGAATGAGTGAGAGTTTGGGTAGAGAGTAAAGCTTAGAAAGAGAAAGTAAGAGAGGGGAAGGGAAGAAAGAGAGAGGGTGAGGGAAAAAGTGTGGGTGAGAGGAGAGGGAGAAGGGAGGAAAGAGAGCTACTGTGAGGAGAGGCAGAGAGAGACTTTTAGAAAAAAAATGTGAGAGGAGAAATTGAGAAAGAGACTGTGTGAGTGGAGAGGTTGAAGAGTGGGTAAGAGAGAGTGACAAAGAGAATGAGAGGAAGAGAGAGGGAGGAATTTACGCAACTTGCATCGGTGGGGGAGGTTTTTGATGAGGATGATGCCAAAGAAGATGAGGATGGTGGAGGCATTAGGAAATACGTTCTGAGCAGGATTTAACTTAAATTCTTAAGCCTCATGAACTCTTTTACTTCTTTGCAAGCTCCTCATCTGGCTGAGCTTTCTTAAGTGTGCTCCTCCTATGATTTCCTCACCACTTCACACGCTATTGGGTGGTGAATGCCTTCTCCTTGCGAGATCCACGTGTAACATTCTCATTGCTTGGTTATTGAGGGTTTGCATGAATCAGATAGGAGCAGAGGCGTGAGAGAATGGGACAGAGATGGGAGAGATGAGCAAAAAAAGAGAGTGATCATGAGGGCTAGGGTTGCATATGAAGGATGGATGGGGATGGGTAGGTTTTAGATAAGTTATTTTTTTATTCTTTTTAATAGAGTTGAACATCTGACTCTGTGAATGAGATTGAGGGAAGTTGGGATGTGAGAGAGGATTTTTTTTAATAATTTTAATATTATCAATATTATTTCTAATATAGGGTATATTATATATATTATTTAATTTGAATATTTTTTAAATTATATATAAAAAAGACATTAACGTGCTTAATTGACTTGCTAATTTTCATCATTGATGTAAATTAATTTCATATCATTTCATGCATGAGTGAATTTTTAAAATTGCCTCGTGTGGCTACCTAATCAATATATGTGTCTATTCTAGCTATTTTCAATGTCCCTGACATGTCAGCATGGTCTGTTTCACGAGATAGGCGACATTCGAGTGATTTCAATTTTGGTTAAGGAATTTTGAAGCGATTTTGTGTGACATCGCATTTTATATGTGCTATTTTCACTATATTCGATTGGATCAACTTCAAAACGGTTGTCGAGGTTAACATTAGGTTAATAATGTGACAGCTGGCCTGGTATTTGGATCAAGTTGCTTTGAAATTTAGATGCAACTCGCTAGGTTCTTCTGAAGTTTTAAAGCAGATATTATGCTTGATCGATGCGTGGAATGCATCATAGTTTTTCTCATGCTATGCAGCTAAATCGCATGCTCCTTATTGTCTTAGTCTTTCTTTTTCTTTCATTTTATATAGGTTTTAAGATTGAAGGAGGCTATGACACAAATATACAACAAGCTCCAGGTAACATTATCTCAATGTTTGATATCCCATTAATTCTTCTTCTAAGTTATTCATGCATGGTGCTATTTACTTGCATATTTGTAGCTCTTTTTTTTTTTGCTGTGTTATCATATTTCAGTCATCATTATTTTTGTGAACTTCTTTTTCCTTTATTTAAAGAGTAATAAGGTAGTAGTTGTTGCTCTTTAATTTACAAATACGGATTATATAGCTGGCATTCAATAATACACAGCAACTTTGTTCCTTATAGTCAAAGTCCAAAAGTTATTTAGAAGAATATAAATAAACATTGATAGTTTATGTTTTGTTAACAAACCAAGCATTAGAATTGGTAGGCTTGCAAGGCCACTAAGTCTGTTTACGCCATTCTTAACTTGGTTATAACTTTATAATGGATAAAAAAAATTCACCTCCAGAGAGAAATGAGCAGCATGTTTGTATAAATAAATCTGCTTAATCTTTAATTCGGACAAGAGTGTGATATGTTCCTCAAAATCTTTTGGCATGAAACTAAATCTCATGGACCAAGTTCTAACTGAAAAAATCCTGGTCCTTGCTGCTCAATCTATCAAGTACCTGGGCTGAGCTTGAACTGTAGTATACCTTTAAAGCAGTTGAAGATGCGAGCTCCTTGCATTGAAAACTCTTGAAATTTAAAATGAGAAGTGAAGAGGGAATTCAATGAGAGAATGTATGATTGAATTTTATTTCTTTATTCTATGTTAAAAATAAGACAAGAAGCTATGTATGCATAGTTTGAAATACTACTATGATAGGAACTAATTGTAGAAATCAATTCCCCTTTGGTTGAAATTGAATTTCAGCCATCCAAACCTAATCTCCAAGATGAATTTAAGAGAAATAACATAAGAAAACTCTTTCCAATTGATGAAATAGAGAAGAAAACCACAAGATACAATGGATCCTCAATTGGAGAGAAGGATCCGATTCTACCAAATCTCTAGATGCCGCTAGAGCCCAAATCAGCGAAGAACAACTCAATTCCAAAAAAATACTCGATACTCTCTAACCCTAGGAAAACATACTACTTAAAGCTTGCAATCAACACAACTCTTCTTGGCCTATTGGTTGAGAGCTTAGGCTTCCAACTAAGAGGTTCAGGTTTCGAGTCTATGTGTATGCGTTGAGTGTGTGAGTTTGCCTTAAAGGGCCTAAATGTCCCCCCCCCAAAAAAAAAAGCTTGCAATCATAGATAAAATCTCTAATCAGCCATTCCTTTGAATTTTTTCTCCCAACCCTCATTAATTCCTCTTAACTGCTACCTGTTGGACCCCACGCGGAAGGTGGAGTCACCTGGGAGGCGAAACTCCTCCGCCTCTATTATACGCAAGCCGGTCCCAGATGGACTGACTGGACCGGTCCAGGGACTGGTCTAACATGGGCCTATATTTGTTAATGTCAAATAGTGCTATATTGTCACACCCTATGATGACCTTTCTAGGTCGATACGAGACGAACAAAGAAATACACTACCATACTCTACATATTATAAGTTCTAATTTATGTGAAATTTAAAACATTGACCGTTCCATTGAGCACATTATAATGTTTTCTAGTATGAAGCAAATTCAAACAATAATCATCCATTCATATACAAAGTATTAAAACAATTTCAAGATTTTATGTATTTTATCAAAACTTATATAAATCATAATGAACATACCCATCAAAACTCTTTCTTACAGTAAAACTTTGAATCCAAAATATCAAAACCGGACCCTTATGTGGGTTCTATCTTGTCCATTCCTTAATCTGAAATAATATTTAACATAATAAAGTATGAGTACAATTCAGTAATATAAACAGTTTAAAGACAAAAAGTAATTAACATAAAAAATTAATTTTACTTATGTATTATCTCATATGTTACCCATAATTCTTTTATAAGAAATAGCTGAATTAACTTCTTATTACTTTGCAAGCAAACTATCTAAATAGAAACAAAACTTCAGATAAAATATTACAATTTTAGGTATTAACAATTTTTAATAACAAGTGTGTATAATTATCATTATGTTAGCTAACCAGCTATGAATTTTTTTTGTTAATCACATTTATCATATACAACTCTTTTTTAGCTTTAGAAGATATTGTGTAGGTGGGAGTGTTTTCTTTGCTACCGTGAGCTCGAAGGCTGTGTCGAGGACCCTTTTGTATCCATACGGGCTTGCCTTTGTTGCCATAGCTATACAGGTCGTTATGCATATCTTAACTGAAGAACTTTTTTGCTTCTCGAAATGCTGGTCTTTGTCACGCAACTTTTTTGCCTCTCGAAAGGCTTGTCTTTGTCGCGCTACCTGTACAGGTTATTACATTATCAGCCTATTTATATGCATGGTCTTTCTAAAGCTCATTTTACTAGATATTAAATTTACTATTTCAAACATCTTAATGTATACATCAAATTTTCATCTTATTACTTCACATAAGTGCACTTTTAAAATGAAATAAGTTAGAAATTTTAAAACTGAATGTTTAAACTTTCATATAAAAGGTATATATAATGAAATTAACCCATGTAATATATCCCTTTACACTTTTATATAAAAGGCAGATGATGAAATTTAGTTTGTAATTAGGTTGCTTTTTGAATTAAAATTGATTATCTTAATTTATTGACAATGTTGATGATCAACCCCTCAACCAACTATATCGTTGCCATCACCTCGAAGCTTCTTTCATTTGTAGACAATTTTGATAATAGATTTAGCACTATAAAATCAAATTCCTACTTATGACTCAATTCAAAATTAAGTTAACCTTAAAATAATAGATGCGCGCGCGCATATATATATATATATATATTGTATTGTGTAGTCTAATGCTCTCTATTTTAAAATAAACCAAATCATAAAAAATCATAAATGATTTATTTATTTTCAATAAGGAAATTGAAAAAAATCGTTAGTAAAAAGAAAAGAAAATTTAAATCATGTAAGTAGAGCATTAAATTATTTAACTTTAACATGTATAAAATTTCAAAAGATAATTTGATTAAAAGCTTAGACTTTCATAAAGAAAGATGGCCCTAAATATTCTTAAGGAAAACTTACGTAAAAGTTTGTTTATAAACGCCAGATTCAAATTAAAAAAAATTTAAAACTTAATAATTATCATAAATCGAAGTAGCCTTATCTTCTTCATCGTTATCATATTCCTCAGCACAATCTTCTTCATCATGCTCATCTTCAGCCGAAATAGCCATGTTTTCGTTGCATCCACCAAATCAATAACACGCACTATTTGCTTCTAAAGCTATACTCTATAGCATAATTAAAATACAGACTGCAAGCTTTTGGTGTGTTTTGATATGTTTTTTTCTTCCTCTGTTGACAAGTATGTTTAATCTTTAGAATTGAAGGCTGTTGTTTTCTTTTCCTTGAAAAATGGATCTTACTGTAAAGATATGTTTTTAATGGAGCTTACATTTGATAAATATCATTAAATTAGTCTTTTAATAGAAGTTCTACCTAACATTATGTTGCTACTGAATTCATCTGCACTTTCGGTATTGATGCATACATCCTTGACTTGCCAATTTATGTGAATTTTTGTTGGACTGGTGCTCTTAAAACTGGAGATTGACTTATTTTAACCTGTTTAATGAAAGCAAAAAAATCTGGGTTGTCTTTGAATGGATTAGATGTGCGATGCTCATTAAGTTATGTTTCAATTAGTTCGATAATGGTTTCTGCTGTTAATGTTTTTCTCTTATGTTCAGTGGAATGTAATCGTTTCTTATGAATTACCAGGAAATAAAGGAATCAGTGCAGTCAGATTATCGACATCTGGTCTCCCTCCTTGTTCATCCTATGCTTCAGGTACTATTTCTTCTAATCTAATCAGGCACTGTTTCCTCTAAGAATTTTAACATTGAGTAGTTGTTTTAACTTGTTTGCAAAACTAAAAGATTTTTTGAGCATTTTTTGCTACAGTTTTGCTATCCCAGATTATTCGGCCGCACCTCTTAACAACAACAACAACAACATCAAGCCTTTATCCCACTACGTGGGGTCGGCTACATGAATCCTTTTTCTCCATTGTGTCCTATTAAAAGTCAAATTCTCGTTTAAATCTAATAAAGAAAGGTCATTCCTAATATTTTCTAACCAGGCCTTTTTAGGTCTACCCCTACCTTTCTTAACAAAAGTCAAATCTAATACCTCTACTCTCCTAACCGGGTCATCGCAAGGCCGCCGTTTTATGTGACCAAACCATCTAAGGCGACTTTCTCTAATCTTATCTTCTACTGGAGCTACTCCAACCTTTTCACGTATATGCTCATTTCGTATCCTACCTCTTAAGAATAAAAAAATGTATTAGTTTATAAAAGTTTACTGAAGTTCAAATTCTGGTGGTATGCTTAAAGCTTTTTGAACAAGGAAACAACCATCGTATTCCAAATTAACTTTTCACATTTAAACATTTGTTTACAATTACATGAATCCTAAGTATACATTCCTGTAATAATTTTTGTTATGTGCACGTTTCATTACATGTTCTTTGAGATTAGCATTTTACATGCCCAGCCTTTGATCCATCTTAATTTAAAACAGCTAAGAACCATTTTTCAATCTCTTAGAAATTATTTCGTTGAACAGTTTCCTTTCTGAACTTTCTGCTAATTGGTCAGTCCGATCCAATTTCAATCGAAACAAAATCAGATTGTGTCAGGTTATTTTGATTCGGGCTAGTCCAATTTAATTGGTCTTCTTTGAGTATTCATATTTAATCCTATGTGGCATGAGATCCGATGCAAGTATTTTCCGTGAGCCTTACTAAAAATGTAGCTTACCTAATGTCTATTGAACAAACATCCCCTAGGAACTATGTTGAATTATATGATAACTTGAATAAGACAAAACTAACTAAACATCTCTCCTATACACAAAAATTGAAATCCAATTCGCCTCCACAACTATCGTACAAGCGGACAAAAAACGTTTTTCTTAAACTTTAAAGTTAAATGTAGCGCACATTCAAATAATGAACTCTTGAGCGAATATTTAAATTTTATATTTTTTAAAATCCTACCTCATGCATTAAAATATAATTCCTTAAACTTAAATGCGATGCATCGAGAAGCATGTCAACACATCTAGGAGTGTGCAATAACCTTTGGAAGCAAGCAAAAATCCTGAGAAAAGTGTTACCACCTCAAGAAGCGAGTCACTACCTCGAGAAGCTTACAACCCAACGATGTGCACTACATTAAATGCATGCGAATATGTTATGTAAATACATAAAAATTAGTGCAAGTGCATCACGTGAACACATCGAAAAACGTGCATGTTAATTTAAAAAGAAATTTCAATTCCCTGCATGTACTTCGACAAATGTGCTAAAAGCTCATTAATTAAAATTTAATTTTCAAATTAATTACTCGCATGTGCTCTGACCATCGCATGTACCTCCTAATTCAAAGATCTGAGAATATTGTACATGTTAAATTCCAAGTCCAATCCTTCTCCTTATAAAGACTGGAGTCAACATGACTTGAATTAACAAGCGAATGCCTAATGACAAATGTAACAATATATTTAATTTTAATGGTTACATTAGGCCTTCAGAGGCTCTTTGAATGAAACTCATCGTAAAAACTAAACTCTCATTTATTTGCGCTCGCATAACAAATTTGTTAAATCATCAATTGAGCTCAATCCTTTGTTGGCAGCCAAACAAAATTGACAAGATTCAATATATAAAATAAAATTACCTATATTTCTGATGATAGCCATGTTAAAAGTTAATATCAATTTGAAGGGATTTTATCCTTTCAAATTGCTTCTAAACCTCAATGAAATATATATATTTTAAATAATTTTCACGCCATCTCGATGATGGCCGTGTTGAGAGCTAATATCAACAAGAGGGGTTATTTTTCAAATTCAATCAAAACTCTTAGGTTCAATATCCATATAATAATTAATATTTAAAATTAAAATTAATTACTTATAACTTAAAACAAAATTCATTCACCATCCGCAAACGTTTGGTGAAGGCGATGAACTCAATGATAACTCTAGCTCCCAAAGAGCAAATCTCCAAATTTAGAATATCACTAAGATTCATTCTCAAATAATTTTCCGTTAGTAAGGGCGTTCCATTTGTCCTCTAACCAGTGGCTTTGCAAGACGACGGCTCCACAGGATCTATAGTTTGGCTTGAAGGCTCCACGTGATATGGTTATGAATGGTTCTCTAATTGGTGGTTTGGCTAGACAATTCCACAAAGAACCTGTGATTTGGCCAGACGGCTCTACATGGTAAATTATTATGACCATGACCCTCTGATCTCGTGACTTAGTCGAATAACTCCATTATATTATGGTCATGGCTAAAAGCTCATATGTTCCCCAATGGTTATTACCATTAAGTAATTAATTATATGGTATAGTCGATAGTACAAAAAGCCCTTTGTTAGCTAAGGTTGACTTGAATTCGTCTTTTAAATATATATTCATCCCATATCTACATGGTATGCTTGTACAAATCAACCTATGGCTGTCGAAAATTATCATTCGGTCAGATTGGTTCTACTACCTCCTATAACTAAGTGGACTAGGGACCATGACGACGAAACCATAAGATCTTGATCGGGTCTATCATCATTCCTCCACCATTCCCTTTAAGTGCAAGGTGGTGAATTTGTAATTTTAAATGTTAAACTATAAACATTTAAATATGTTGCTACTTTATGATGGATATTAAGTATCTGTTTAATGACTAGTCTTAATAGAAAGTGCTCTCATTATCGAGAGGGGTAAATAACTATAGGGGCTTGCTCCTATAGAAAACCAAAAATCAGATATTAAAGTCTTCACTAAGAGAGCAAAATCTCTTAGTAGTGTCCTATCTCTATCTAATCTGCCTTCCGAAAATTTTCCCCAAAACATAATCCGTTAAAATTCTACTTGAACATACGCGGAGAGGCTAGGGCCCCAAAAGCTCAAAATTTCGAAGCCCATTGGTATTTCTTTTGTTGTTTTGATTTTGTTAGAATGTAAGAGAAATGGAAATGCATGAGAGAGAGAGAGGGAAATAAAGATAACAAAATATTGCAAAATAATATTTGTATCCTTGTACTATTTTCTAAACTGGTGATTTTTTTTTGGGTGTGATTGTGGTTGTAGATGGATCTAATTGAATCTTATAAATCTTATTTTTTATTTTTTTGGTGTGATTTACTTGTGGATATTCTATTTTTCTCTTTTTGATGGTTATTGCTCATGAGGATGCGCTTTTTTCCCCCATCAGATAAGTGTGGAAAGTAGTATTTATTGTCGGTGGATGGTTAGGGTTTTAGTTTATTTGATGGTCCAAAATTTAAATGATGAGATGGTCTATTTTAGATAAAGTCTTCATGGGAATTCAAATAGGGAAGGGAAGGTTTTTTACATAGGATCGCTTTGGGTTCAATAGCTAAGTTTTCATGAAGTACGTTTAGATTGGAAGAAGTGGACCTTTTTGTATTGAACGGGGGTGTTTTTTTGGCCACGGGAGGAGGAGCTTTCTCAACTTTGGTAGGGAAATATCGTTTTTAACTATATATAAGGGAAAAAATTAGTAAACTTAGATGTTAGTTTGAGGTTGGACATCTATTGGAAATATATAACCTGGGTAACATAGTAGCAAAAAGTGAGTTATTCCTTGGAGCAAATCTCTCTTTATTGCGATTGAGTAATTGTGTGTTTGGGATTGATGCTATCGAGTATTGAGGGTAAGAAGTCAGAAATAGCTAGCGTAAAGAGTTATTATTGTTTGTTGAGAGGGAAAGTGACCGTTTGTTGGAGAAAGATGATACTATGCAATTCCATTTCAGTAAGGGTAAGTAGTGGGAAATAGATAGCGTAAAAAGTTACACAATTCCCCTATTTATAATAAGAGAGGTTAATGCTCATTAGCCATCTGATTCATAAAACAAGGAAATAAAAATCAGCATTACCATTGTCCATCTCTTTAGATGAGGGAAAGATATTATAAGTAGAGAGGAGGGGTTGATCCCCCTTCCTTGTCTCCTTGTGATTTTTATGTAGCCTTTATGAGCAGTTTGTGTAACCTTTTGTTTGTAACCTTTGTTTTGCCGTCATCTAGAACTTAAGCCCAATGGGTTTGGGTTAGGCCTGAGGTTCTTACATCAATATGATTGGATTTATCCAAACGAGTTTCCCTGCTAGTCGGTCGATTAAGTTTGGGTTGTTCTTAGTAGCCTACCTTGGTTGACTAACCTGATTTGGTTGGAGAATCTATTGGATCATTCAATTGACCAGTTGACAGTCCAAACATATACTCTTGTAATGTAAATATTTTATCATAATATATATTAATTGGATGGGGCCATTAAAGTGTTTGGATAAAGTCTGACATGGTTCAACAGTTGTTTTGACAATAAAAGTTCAATATCTAGCATGGGTTGTGGTTATTACTTATTACCCGTTCTGTTTGCAAAACGGTATGTCAAAACCTTGAACATAATTGAAAATTTAAATAGCTATTATGTTGTGGTTAAACCAATATGCCATGGTTAACCATGCATCCGTCATTTTATTTTAATTTTTTTTGCTTTATTTCTCTCCTTGTGAATGATTTGGCACCTATATTAACCAGGTTTTTTAAAGAAGGAAATCAAATTAATTTTTAAAGCATGAAAGCTCTCATATCTATTACTGGTTAGCAAAATTTTGGTACCAATTAATGAAAGGAAATAGAGTTTTGGGGTTGTTTTTATCTCATCATGACACTGAGGAAAAGAAGGAAGAATTACTAACCAATGAAGGACACAAAAACACTCTCAAATTCCAGCCTTAAGAACTTCGAAGAAGTCTTAAAACTAATATGGAACTTAGTTTTGAAAACCTGGTGACTAAACAATTTTTTTAATGAATTAAAAGAAAAAGACAAAACAGATTTATAAATTTAGCTCAAGACCACCAGTGTTGCTGTAATTTTTTTCTTTAGAAAAATTTCCCTTGACTGAAAGGCTGGCGATTGATTCCCTTCCAGTTTCGGTCTCCAGTTTTCCACCAGTCCAAAATGTAGAGAATGGGGTGTTGAACCAGTGAAGATACTGATTTACTCATTACACCTACATAGAACCCAAAGACAATCAGTAGATCACCATTCTTGATACAATTTATTGTTCAGAATTGAAAAAAATGGACAACAGAGACCTACCACAGAATTCGTCCTTGCTTCCAGGTGGCAGTCTCTTGAACTTCTTGTTTCCAGTGCTCTTTATGCTGCTAACAAGAAAGACAGGAAGGGCGGCACTTCAGGACAGCTGCAGATCGGGGACAAAATGATGGAATCCTGCTGGTAGCCAACTCCAGCATCAGGTCAGCCCTCTTGATGCGGATTGTGGCAGTTTAGCGCCTGCCCTTGTTAATTGATCAAGACTGCTGGCTAGATGAGAGAAAGAAGCTTCCATCTTAGCGGAATCCTATAACAAACACACTACAATCCGTCACTTACTCTCCTCTCAAGCTTTAGGGGAAATCCACCCCAAGGAAAAGAGATATTTCTCTTCTCTCAGATTTAAAAACCTGAAATAAAATGAACCAACTTTCCTTTTCAAAACAAATGATAGGTATTTATACACCCCAAAGCTTAAAAGAGACACAATTTACCACTCTACCCTTAATTAATTAATAATAATAAAAAAAAACTAAAAGACAAAAAAGGAACAAATAATAATAAAACCCTAATAAAAAAATACTATTACAAATATAACCTTATCACATCAAGTTGACAAATATGACACCACACATTTTTACATTACGATCCCCTTTTAATTGGAATACAATCAAGTTATTGTTCCATTCATTATGTATGAAATTAATCTTTGTTAAGTTGATAATTTTCTTAATGGTTGGCCAGTTTTGGAAGGTTCTCAATATAAATAATAATTTTATTGCCCCGAGTTTTGAACTTATCTCTTGAACCTTTTCCCAAGGTTGTGAAAATTGGCCTGGACATCTTCAATCTTAAAATTTGATTTTTAATCTAAATTTAATTTACATATGAGCATATAGTTTAATATAAATTATTACTAATTTATGTTACATACTTAGATATAATATATACATATAAATGATATAACAAATTCACATTATAAAATTATATATATAAATCATTCTTGCATATAATTAAATATATAAAAAATGAAATAGATAAAAATTAATTTTTTTCAACTAAAAAATAATTATTACTCAAATTATAATAATAAATAAATAAATTGTTTAAAAATAAATAGTGTATGTATTGTAAACATGAAAACTTCAACATAGCTATTTATTCCCACATCACTTGGGAAGTTTCACTTTATATGATTTATATAGCTTTTTTGTTTCACACGTGTTAGAAACTCACATGGAGTGGTGAGGCTATGTGAGAATTTTTTATTGTTGTTTTTTTTGTAAATGACAAATATATGCTTTTGATGCTTAATTAAAATTTAAAATAGATTAAATTTAAATTAATTTATTACATTTAATATTAAATTTTATACTTAATTTATTAAATTAATTTTTCTGATTATTTAAATATAGTTAATTTTTAAGATGAATCTGATGAGGACATCGAAGATCAACGGCCACGATCGTGTCTATTTATTTTCATGTATTTTATTTGTTATTTGTACTTTTCCATTTATACCCTCACTTGAGGGCTTTGTTTTATGTTTGCCCTAGGGGCAATTGTGTCTTTTATTTTCC